GCGGGACGGCAGGGCGCCGCGACAGCCTCCTCTGCACCCGGGACCCTGGTGCCTTCTGGGGTTGACCTCGGGAGCCAGGCTCTCTGCAGGTGGCCATAACACCCCGGACACCGTGTGCCGAGTGACCAGCACGTAGTGAACAAAGACTGCTCCGGGAGGCCTGGGCTCCCTCCGTCTGCCAGGTTTCCGTAGGGAAGGCGGGCTGGGAGCAAAGGCCAGCCAGGTAGTGTGCCCGGACCTTTCTGTGGGAGAGGGAAACGGGCGCTTCTCCAGGGGTCTCCGAAGAACTCTTTCTATTCTTCATCTGTATGGTGACCGTAATTATCAAGGGCATGTGACCATCTTCAGACTTTCTGATAGGCAGGGGAGGTGAGACTGGATCCTAACCCTTCCATAGTTTTCCCGGTACAGTGAGGTCCCCGGGTTGTCACCTGCTGCCACTTCTATGGCAGTGTCCCCACCCCCCAACTTGTGCTGCGGTAATTTCCTTTGCATTCCTCTTCATAGAGCGCAGCCCCGGGGGACCACTCTGCAGCCAGGGTGCTTCATTCTCCTCGCAACTCCTTAGGGCGGATGCAGCTGTATGGGTTCTTACTTAATCTGCAACATTGTGATCACTAGCCTGCAAAAGCCTCTGCCTCACTTGGTCTTCAAGTGCTGCTTGTTAATGCATGTCAGGTGCCTGCCGTGTGCAGATCAGACAAAGGTGAAGGGCCGGGAAGGAGAGAAGCCCTCATCCTGGCCTCCTGAGAGCTTCAAGTGTTGTGTGCATGCACCCTGCCCTCCATGTCTGTCAGGCTGCCTTCTCAGACGTCCAGGGTGACCCGGTCAACCCCCATGGCCCCACTCTGCTCAGGCTGCGCACCAGGAGCCATCCTGAAAGCCTTGCGTTGTCAGTGCAGCACCCGCCCTCTTTGGAGTGTGCAGGGTCCAACCGCTGCCAGTGACCGAAGTGCAGGCAGGTGGTGGGTGACCTCTTGCCACTTGTGATTGCTTTTCCTGCTTTACCCTTGTCTTCTACAACCCATAATCACAGTTATTCTTTGAAAATATAAATTGCTTCTTGTGGGCCCTTGGTGGCCTTCTGGTCGACTTAGTTTAATCTTGGCCCCTGCCAGGTCTTCGTCACATCTTTCATTCCTGCTGCCTGGAATGTTCTTCCCTCAGGCGTGGCTCGTGACTCCTGTCTGATCCCTCTGCCTAACCTCAGTGGTCAGAGGACTTCCCTTCCCCACCGGTTCTTTAGGGTTATCACCACAGAAGCTGTTGAAAATAGCTGGTGGGGCAGAGCGATGCTGAGCAGGGGCAGCGAGCTGAGCTCTGTGTCTGTCTTTCCACATCTCTTCTCAGCTGCGCTGGGCAGGACGTTGGGATGGCTGCAGGGTCCGGGCTTGCCCGATACCACATCATCTGCACTGCTTCGCTGCCACACTGTGGAGAGCACACAGATCCCCACACCTGGACCTGTGCAGGGTGCCTAGCACGAACCTGGGCTGGCGTGGGGAGGGCTTTTTGTTCAAGCAGCACTTTCCATCTGTACCACCCAGGGTGCTTGCAGATTGTGGCTAGTGCCATGGAGTCTCTCTGCTGGATTAGGGCCTGGGCCCTAGGGGAAAGGGCCTTGGAGCCTGAGTACCCTTAGAGTGTAGGGCGGGCTGGGCAGGGCCCTGCTTGCTGCTGGAGTTCAGGGCCAGCCTGAGGGGCTGCCCCTGCTCCAGGAGAAGTGGCTTTGTTGTTACCTCTGTGGTTGTGCCCTTTCGGGCTGGCTGCTTTACCCTCTGCATTTTGTTTTCTTCCCCTGAGGCTTTTCTACAGCGTGGAAGTGCATAGAGCTCTGTCCTTGCCCAGCAGTAGCTACTTAGGACGGTTAGCCTGCGCCTGTTCTTTGCTGGCCTCTTCCTCCTGGACGCATCTGTGGTCTACACAGCAGCCTGTGGGGTTGGGTGCTTGACTTACAGGAGTCCGCTGAGCTCCACAGGCTGACTGCAGCCAGCGTCCCACGGGGTAAGAGCCTTAAGTGATATGGCCCCGCAGGTGGCAGGCCTGGGCCAGCGCGAGCCTGCTGTGGCCATCGAAGGGAGCGGGCCAGAGATTGGACATGGGCTTTGGGGACAGCGATGCAGACCTGCTAAGTGCTAATTTCAGGTGGCAAATGGTAACAGATGGCCTTGGGGTGGCACTGTTGGTTGTGGGATTCACAGGGGCGTTGCTAAAGTTCACAACATCGTGGCAGCCTGTGATGCAGTGCTAGGAGGGAACAGGATGTAGGCAGCAAGGTTTGGGATGAGCAGTGTGGCCCAGTCTGCACAGGTGTTTTTACAGCGAGACGGTGGGCAGGGGACGAGAACATGGCAGTGAGCGGGTATCTGGCCAGCATGCAGTGACCCGTGCGTCAGATCTGCAGAGCATTGATGGCCTCAGACTGGCTGTCCGCAGTGCTTCAGAGCTGGAGGCCGCAGATCTGCTGGGATAATGTGACAGAAGTGTAGTGTTGGAAGACAGTTTGAGACTTGTTTTTTTTTCTTTTTTTTTTTTTTTTTTTTTTTGAGACTGGGTTTAGCAGTCATGCTGACCTTGTACACAGGAGAGCCCCCTGCCTCAGCCTCCTGAGAGCTGAGATTACACGTGTGTGGCACTGAGCCTCCAGCAAGTTGAGACTTAGGGGAGGAGAGGTAGGTTTTCCATGGCGCTGTCCTGAGGGGGCAGTGTGGGAAGGCCGGCTCCGCCACAGGGTCTGGGGCTGTGGCGAGGGGCTCCATCTGGCTGTGAGGTGGTACACTCCTCACCAGGAACCCACTGAAGCACAGGCTCGTTCCAGGGTGGGCATCATGAGGGGTGGCATTTGGGGCGGGAGGTGTGGCCCTTGGTTCACCCAGGCAGCCTCTGTGCTCAGACCCGGCGAGAGCTGAGAGGTCTGTGAACTGGCAGTGCTGCTGGGTGGGAGGGGTGGGGGTGTGTGAGATGACTCTCCGGTTCAGCTCCTGTGGCTGAGGGGACCTGCACCAGCCAGCGGTGGGCGGGTGTTGGATCCAGGCCGGAGGGGAGTGTGGGTGGATGTGCCCATCTTCCTCCTGATCCAGGTGAGGAGGCTTGGCTTTGGGACACCTGCCTCATCCGGGGCAGCAGGGCTGAGCAGGGCCTCCAGGAGTGAGGGGGCTGGGATCTGGGCCCCACAATGGTGACGGAAGAGCTTGGGTGCATGACTGGCCAGAATGAATAGGGCTGTGCCGAGCCGAGTTTCCCAAACTTCAGTGTGCCCGGAACACCAGAAGGGTGAGTTGAATGTGCAGTGCCACACCCCTGTCCCTGACCCGAGGCCAGGGACCCCTCTCTAGAACTGCTGAGGTGGAGTGACAGATGTGTGGCTTCAAATAGTGTCAATGGCCGGGCAGGGTAATGCATGACTGTAACCCAGGACAGTACTTGGGAGGCTGAGGCAGGAGGATCCCAAGTTTGAGCCTAGTCAGGGCAAGTTAGTGAGACCCTGTCCCAAAATAAAATCAAAAGGACTCAGTTGTAGAGCACGTACCTAGCATGCACAAGCCCCTGGATTTAATCCACAGTATTGTAAAACAAACCCCTTTCATTATTTTTACTGGTAAAATACTTGAACATAAAGCTTACCGCCTTAGCATTTTTCAGTGTCTGGATCGTGGCCATAAACGCATTCCCATTGTTGTCAGTTGTCCCCACCCTCAGGCTTAGGACTTTGCCATCCTCCCAGGCCCTGTGCCCTCACCTTAGGGACTTAAGGCACTCGGGCAGGTGGGGGCCCTGGGTCTGGGGTGGCGCCTGTGTCTGGAGGCTTCTGTGAAGGAAGAGGATGCCTCTGCCTGGGGCTGCACAGCAGATGTGGGCAAGGAGCGGGGACAGCAGGGTCTGGGGCCCTGGATTGGGGAGCCATGCCAGGAGCCTTCCTGGCAGCTTGAGCCCTGGCCCTGCATGGTTCCCTGAAGTTTCATCCTCCAGCTGTGAGCAAGGTCTGGGTGAGGCCCTGTCTGTAGGCGCCCTGGCCTCTGTCTGTTTTTAATCCCAACAAAACCCGTAAGTGCAGGGGCCGCCGCCAGGTGGCAGCAAGGTGGAGGACTGAAACAGGGTCTCAAGGCTCCAGAGGGCCCGGGCTCTGCGGGGACCTGCGGAGCCCATCCTGTTGTGCCCTCCAGTCAGCGGAGGAGTAGGAGCAGAGAGGTCACGTGACGCACCTGGGCACCCAGCCGTGACACAGGGCACCTCCGCCAGGATGGGCAGTGGTCTGGCCAGGGACGGGGCCTGGCAGGCACAGGTGGGGGAGGGTGCCTGCAGATCTCAGATGCTTCCCAGTGGAAGATGTTGTCTGGAGGCTGGCAGAGGGGCTGCTGTAGAATCTTCCAGATCAGAACGTTAAACAGGGTCCTGAGTCAGTCTCCTCGGCATGGCTGAGCCATTGGGAAACCAGCACCCTCTGTGGCTGGGAAGTGGGCATGGTGCCGGCCTCCGAGGCCCTGTCGCGGCTCACATCCCTCCTCCTGGCCACGGGCAGAGGTGGTGCTGAGGAGGAAAGCCACCAAGCTGCCAGCTGGTACTGCTGCCAGCACTTTCTCTGCCCCAGTGGTCACTGCAGGTGGGAAGACAGGAAGTGAGTGCCTCAGCGGCTGCTCCTGGCCTGTGCTCAGTGACGTCCAGAGCACAGGGCCCGCTGCCTCCTTCACAGGGGAGGATCCCAGGCCGAGCCGGCGGCCACCAGCCCGCGTCTCACAGCCTGGCCTGGTCAGTGTTCCCAGCCCGAAACAGTCTGAATGTTTACGGGACTATAAAGTGAAGGTCCTGGATGCTGGTAGGTTTTGAAAGGAGGAGTCATGGAAGTCCAGCCAGGCCAGAAGCTGTGCTCTGCTCCGGAGGGCCGGCCCTGGCTTCAGGTGTGTGTCCTGGAGGAGGCCTGCTTGCCCCTACCCGAGCTCTCCACTGGCAGCCAGCCTGACTTCCAGCCGCTGGCTGCCTCACCCCACTCCCGCGGGGCAGGGGCATGGGCAGGCCCCGAGAAGTGGCGGCCGGTTGAATGAGTGCGCATTTGGGCAGTTACTTTCTGAAGTGGCTTTGGCGGTTGACTTTAAGGAAGAGGCCTCTTGGCAGAGGAAAGGATTGAGGGAGTCTGACAGTTTCCTCCCATTAATAGGCCTGTGTTTCTGGGCCCCCTGCTTGCAGGAGCCTGTGCTCAGCTGGGGTGGGTAGAGCCGCGGTTCACCTCGTGAGCAGGAAGGTGCTGTGTGCCCCTGTCACATGCAGTCACCTCCGAGGAAAGGCACAAGCAGCGCTCCCCGAGCACCAAGCCGGGGCAGGCACCCCCGCCGGCATCCTGGTCCTGCCGTGCTCATCGCGTGTCTGCTCGTGAAGGCCCTGGAGGCGCGACACCAGTGCGGGGTGCCCTCCCACTGGGGAACCAGGGAAGCGGTGCAGCTGCCTCCGGGCACGGTCAGGGGCCTTTGGGGGCGCTGCTGGGGTTGACGGCTGCTTCTGTCACCTAGGAGGACATGGCTGCGCACGTGGGCGCCTCCCGGACCCCGCAGGAGGTGATGGAGCACTATGTGAGCATGTACATCCACGGGAACCTGGGCAAGGCCTGCATCCCCGACACCATCCCCAACCGTGTCACCGACCACACGTGCCCCGGCGGGGGCCCCCTGTCACCCAGCCTCACCACTCCGCTGCCCCCGCTGGACATCTCGGCAGCCGAGCAGCAGCAGCTGGGCTACATGCCGCTGCGGGACGACTACGAGATCGAGTACGACCAGGACGCCGAGACGCTCATCAGCGGGCTCTCGGTGAACTACGACGACGACGACGTGGAGATCGAGCTGAAGCGCGCGCACGTGGACATGTACGTGCGCAAGCTCAAGGAGCGGCAGCGCCGCAAGAACATCGCCCGCGACTACAACCTGGTGCCCGCCTTCCTGGGCAAGGACAAGAAGGAGAAGGAGAAGGCGCCCAAGCGCAAGGTCACCAAGGAGGAGAAGGAGCTGCGGCTGAAGCTCCGGCCGCTGTACCAGTTCATGTCGTGCAAGGAGTTCGACGACCTGTTTGAGAACATGCACAAGGAGAAGATGCTGCGCGCCAAGATCCGCGAGCTGCAGCGCTACCGGCGCAACGGCATCACCAAGATGGAGGAGTCCGCCGAGTACGAGGCCGCGCGGCACAAGCGCGAGCGGCGCAAGGAGAACAAGAGCCTGGCGGGCTCGAAGAGGGGCAAGGAGGACGGCAAGGACGGTGAGTTCGCGGCCATCGAGAACCTGCCCGGCTTTGAGCTCCTGTCGGACCGCGAGAAGGTGCTGTGCAGCTCGCTGAACCTGAGCCCGGCGCGCTACTTGACCGTCAAGACCATCATCATCAAGGACCACCTGCAGAAGCGGCAGGGGATCCCCTCCAAAAGCCGCCTTCCCAGCTACCTGGACAAAGTCCTGAAGAAGCGGATCCTCACCTTCCTCACCGAGAGCGGCTGGATATCCAGGGACGCGTCCTGAGGCCGCCCGCCCGCAGCTGTGAGCCAGACGCCTTGGGGAGGGTGCTCCCCGGTGTTGCTCTTTTTTAAAGAAATTGAATTCCTTTTTTAAGGTGTGAAGTCTTCTCCTGGTCCTCTGAAGAAGCAGTCGTAGCAGTCTTACAGGGGTCTGGGGAGACGGGGCTGGAGGATGTGACGAGGTCAGATGGTGTCCTCGTGTCCCGTGAGCCCTCTTCCCTTCCGTGAGGGTGCCAGGAGCACTGTTTCCTGCCGGGCCAGCAAGCCGTTGCTTCTCCCTGGTGGCGCGAGCTCTTCTCAGGTGGGGCTGCTGCTGGCGCCCTTTGCTGAGCCCACTGCTGCCTGGGCACGTGGCACTTTACAGGAGGCGGCCAGGCGGGTGCTGTGCCCACAGCAGCCGCTGCTGCCGGGACGTCTCCTACACACAGAAGCCTGCCTGGGCACGTGGCACTTTACAGGAGGCGGCCAGGCGGGTGCTGTGCCCACAGCAGCCGCTGCTGCCGGGACGTCTCCTACACACAGAAGCCCTGTTTGCACACAGATGACTCTGCACTCTCCTCTCGGCAGCACCAGATCCTCCCCCGAGCCCCTGGCAGCCTCCCTGGCACATCCCGGTCCCCACCGTGGGAGGGCGGTCTGAGGGGGGCGTGGGGCCATGGGACCGCCAGGTTCCTACTGCTGCTGCACCCGCCGTGGGTTTTACCTGGAAGACTCAAGTCAGCGCACACGGCCGGGGGCTCGGTGTTCTGGGTTTTGGTGTTCGCATCCTCAGGACTCTCATCACAATCGCAAGTCCCCTTCTCACTGAAAAAGCATGACCGTGCTAGCCCGGCTGAGTGAATTATGTAGGGTGTAGCCAGGCAGAGCCGTGGCAGCGTGGATGGCAGGGCAGGGCAGGGTAGGGCACTGCACTCCACTCGGATGAGTCTCGGTGCATGCGCTGCTCCTGGCTCTGTCTAGTTAGACAGGAAGAGCTGAGGCGAGGTGCTCTCAGGGCCTGCCAGTTACCTTCCTGCTAAACCTGCAGGAGCGGCTCATTTCCTGCAGCTCAGGGCTCTAGGGACCCTGGGGGACCACAGACCCGGCCCCTTCCTCCCAAGCTCGGCCTGGCCCTGTCTTCTTAGGTACAAGAGCCTGTTTACCTCCCAGAACATTTGGGCTTGAAGTTACATTAGACTGAAGTGAAAGAAAAACGAAAAACACCTCCTCATTTCTAAGGACTTGATTATGTGCCTTTTCTTTTTACATCCTCTGTCCCCTAGAGTAAGTTTTTTCAGCATTAAAGAAAACATTTCAGATATACCACAGATGGCTTTAGCTGGAAAGTGCATTGTGAAATACCCTGTGCCAGGCCCAGGCCCAGCCTGGGCACCTGAGCCAGTGAGTGCTGGGCTCACAGGGAACCCACTCCACACTGCCCCCTGCCGGGTGAGTGCGGTGGGCCAGGCTGGTGGGAGGCAAGGCCTGAAAGGTGCAGAGATGCCTGGTGCTAGCCTGTCAGTGTCTGAGCCAGTGCTCCCCAAAGGGGGGTCCTGGGCCCTTGGTGGACAGAAGTACAGCTGAGCCCCACGTGGTCCTTGGGTCAGAAATTCTGGGGTGCAGCCCAGCTGCTCTTCTCAAGCTCTGCAAGTGGCCCTGCCATCCCAGGCCTCAGCTCTTTCTACACCACCAGAACCCTGGTTTGGCCAGGCTTGGTTGTCTTATTTTTTCTATAAAGCATAGCCAGACCTACATTTGCTTGAGAAGCAGAGGATCCCATGTGTGGCCTAGGCCGATGCTGTTCAATGAAAACCTCGTGCTCACGCAGGTTTGTAGTGTGTGTATATTTTTGATGCTATGAATTTATTTAGGCTTGACTGTTTTAAAACACCATAATGAATGTATAATTAATTTATGTTGAGATCGTAATGTTACGAGAAGAGTAATTCCAGGATGGCTGCCTGTCGTCCCCTGCTCCAGCTGTCTTGTCCTGTCAGTCCTTACCTCTGCTGTCAGCTCACAGCCTGAAATGTTTCTATTTGATTCTCACGATGAATCAGCTACCATAATCCCGTGGAACGAGGTCTTTCCCAAACTTAACTCTTGTCTGAGTCAAAAAAGGTAATGGTCCCAGGAGGCCAGCATTCCAAGAATGTATTAAAAGCTGCAACTGACTACCATTTCTACTGTCCTTTTACATATTAAAGAGGTTGAGAACAAAACCGTGTCACTGCTTGCTGCTTCTCAACCTGCATCTGGGGTGAGCCCACGCCCACTCCAGCCTGGGTCCCCGTGCGGTGGCTGTCGGACACCTCAACGTTGGTAGTGACTACAGGTGACCGAAAGCATGCCCTCAAGACAGTTTCCCCTCTGAGCTGTCACCCTTAGATTGGTCGCAGGATCCGACTCACAGGGATGCCACACTGCAATGTGTACAGCCCGCGTGTCCTCTTGGAAACCTGCCGCCAGCCCCAGACGATCCCGACACCTGGCAGTGTGAGTGCTGTGTAGACCCTGCCGCCTGGGGAGTAACCAGGAGCCTGTCCAGTACAGCCCCGGTTCTCCTCCAGTTTTTCGATGCTGCTGGTTGAATGCATGGATGGGGCAGTGCGACCACTGCGTTTCTTACCCGGGTCCTTTACAGATGCCGCCCCGTGTGCACACGGATCCCTGGCAGAGCAGCAGACACAGCCAGACCAGCCCTGCCAGGCTTTTCTCCAGTGTGCCACACTGCCATTAGTTCTGGCTGTTTTTGATGAAATAACTCAGGGCAGCTTAAAGGAAAAGAGGGCAATGTTTGGAAACAGTATAAACAGATTTTCATTCTGGCACTATTACCTGCACTGTTCCAAGCTAGGAACATCCATAGGCGCTGCCCCATCCTCCTCAGGCAGCAAGTAGATAATCAGTGCTGCCCTTCCAGCCGAGCACTGGCAGCAGACACATTTTTCTCACTTGTGACAGATGCCTACTTGCTCTCTTGTCCCTCTCCCCAGGTCCTCGATGTGCATGTCCATGTCAGTGAGGACCAGGGCTGGGGCAGGAAGCCCAGAGCACCTTGACAGAGGGGTGCTCCGGCTCTGGCTCCCACCGGAAGAGGCTGTACCACATAGCTCAGGGCCGGGGTGGGACATGGGGGCCTGTCCTGCTGGCTGTGGGCTCAAGGTCTCCATCAAAGGACTAAATGGTTACCAGAAAGTAGGAAAAGAAACGGCAGGCTTTTAATCTTAAATACAAATTTAAAATGAAGTGTGGACACATAGTGTCCCAGGCCCACAGTGATGTTCTGAGAAGGTCCTTGACGGGGACACACCTTGAGGTGTGCTCAGTGGGGCAGGATGAATAAAAGATCCTACCTAACGTTTGACATGTTCACTTCCTATCTCCACAGGGGCCAAGAGCTGACATGTGCACAGCTAGACACTAACTACACCTGAACTGTCTGTCCTCAAGTCAGTGCACCCTGTTCTCAGCACAGGAAACAGGTCCTTTCCTCACTAGGGAACCGCACGGCGGGCTGGAGGGCCAGGGACTCAGTGCTGCAGAGGGGACGGCGCAGCACAGATGGGCGCAGCCAGGCAGCTGGCAGAATTCCCGGAGACCTTTTATTTGTTAAAGTACTTGGCAATCACCAGCATTTGCAGGTATAGTGCTACTCAGGACACCAAGAGGCCCTGGCCTCCTCCTGTGAGTACATGTAACCAGTGAGCAGCGGGCAGACCTGAGTCCGTTGCTGAGCCTGCCCCCACTGGGGCCCGGGCCCTGACCTCGCCTCGCCTCGCCTCGCCTCGCCTGCTCAGCTGTCTTTCTTGGTTTCTGCCGAGGGGCCCAGGAGCCACCTCCCGGGAGTCTGGCAGGCTGGCAGGCATGCTAGGCTTCCTTCACCACCCCCACCAGGGCGGGCCGCAGGGTGCGCCCGTGCAGCTTGTAGCCCACCTTGCTGACCAGAGCCACGGTGCCTGGCTCCTTGCCCTCCACGGGCGTGTGGAACAGGGCCTCGTGTTCATAGGGGTCAAACTTGGCTCCGACGGGGTCCAGCCTGAGCAAGCCATGCTTTGTGAACACCTTCTGGATCTGGACCTCGGTCATCACCAGCCCCTCATACAGACTCTTCAGGTGAGGGTTCTCGTCTCTGATCTCTTCCTTCGGGACGCTCTGGGTGGCCTTCTCCAGAATGTCTGCCACCTCCAGCAAGTCCTTGCAGAAGCCCTGGATGCCTAGCAAGGAGCAAGACAGTTTGTATTCAGCACCAGCTCTGCTGGTCACCAGGGCTGCGCCGCAGGCTCGGGCCTCTAGCCACACCTGGGGAATCACTTGCTTGCCCTGGAGTCAGTGCCTCAACAATCCCAACTCCGGAAGCCTTTGCGGGGCTGAGAGTTGGCATCGCTGACTGGAATGAGCACGGAAGGGAGGGGGGTCAGTCTCAAATGCCCTCGAGACGTGGCGACAGGAGGACTAGCACTTGAGACCCAGGGGAGGGCGGAGCAAAGGACAAGCAGCCCGCTATGGTCTGAAGAGCCAGGCCAGCCCTCGAGGGCATTAGCAGAAAGGGAGGGAGGACACTGGGAAACAGGTCACAGCACTAGGTGTGTGATCTGCAGCAGTGAGAGCCCATCTGCTGTCTGTCCCAAAGCGAGCCACTAACCCCAAATCCTGACTGGGTCCCCAGTCTGTCATACAGGGAGTGACACCTCCCAGTTACACACAGGTGAAACAGCCACACAGAGGCAGAGTGCTGGTATGTCTCTGTCTCTGTCTACACAGACACAACGGCTACAACGCTGCCACCGCCACTCCCGACTGTACTGTGAAGGGGCAGGCAAGGACAGCTGGTGCGGGTTCCATTCTGTTCTGGGGGCCAGAGCTGAGCGTCTGCAGCAGTGACTGGGCTCCCAGGTCTCCCTGGGGGGACGGTGAAAGCGCCCCTCACCGCCTGGCTGGCCGCACTCCCGTCCCTGTCCCCTACCACTCACCCCACCTGGAGGGCGCACTGCACCGCCTCACCCACCCCTGTCCTCAGCACCGTACCATGTTCACATTTACCATATAATTTTGCCTCCTCTACCAGTTTCTGGCTTCTCTGCCGCAAGTTCTCAGTATCTGCTAAAGCTCGTTTATATTTTTCCTAGATGAAAACAAAAGTCACCTGAATTATTAAACACAAAACAAATTCATGGAAAGCCACCCTGATTTAAAAATGATTATATAACACAATTCGAAACCCAAATAAGATCTGTCATTGCTTTGAGACTGGACGAGAAGCAGACGGCGAGGACGGGTTTACCCCCAGCCGTGGCGAGTGAAGTGCGGCCCTACCCCTCCGGTGCCACGGGGGGCGAAGGACAGCACAAAGGCCTTCGCCGGGCCCCACGCCACTCTCGGCGCCCTCCGGGAAGGAACACTCCCTGTCCCAGGCGTGCGCCTTGCGGAGGGCGAGGCGGAGGCCTTGGCTCAGGGCTGACGAACCCGTGGCACACGTGCCGCAGCAGGCACGCAGAGCCCCTCTGTCGCCACGCCAGCCAAGTGGCCCCAGCAGCCGAGCGTGAGCGTGGCTAACAGTACTAGAACCTCAGCATTCGGGTTTGACTGCAGTGCCGGCACGGAGATAAACAAGTGGGTCTGGGCACTCGTCTCTGAAAGGTTCTCCGTCACCTCCTTAGCCCGTGAGCGAAGAAACCCTCGATGCCCCTGCAGCGTGTCTAAGAGGCTTGGGAATCCACCCACTCGCCCCTCACCTGAGCTATGCTCCTCCCCTCCAGGGTGGCCCGAGCACCTGTCCTCAGTCCTCAGCCACTGCAGCAGGGGCCGAGGTCCTGGCTCTGCAACCTGGTCCCCAGTCTCCCTGCCTTTGTGCAGCAGCTCCCACGTCTGGGTACCAGGCGAGGGGGCGCTAACTCACTGGACCAGGACAGCGGCAATGCAGCGATCTTGGCACAGGCCCTGAGCCTTGGTGGCAGCAGCCTTAGGTGCTCAGGGGATCTGGAGCCATCTGTGTGTTTGCACGGAGTAACATCCAGTTGTGGATGAGAGCACCAGGTGACCACACTCATGCCCAACTCGCCTCACTGTGAAGATGTCTCAGTCCTGACAGTCACTACTGGTCACACCGCACCGGACTTGGCTGAGCCTCTGCCACTGCGGGCCGCGCTGTCACAGTGAACTTGGGGTGGTCATGTGGACCCCAGGCCCTTACCACGGTCTCTCTGAGCTGCTCTTCCAGCCGGCCCTTCTCTTCCAGGAGGACCTTGTCTGGCACCGGAGGCTCTGACTTCTGCTCGCTGGGCCGCGCTTCCTCCTCCAGACTTGGGCCATTGTTCTTCTGTTTCGCAGCTGTGCACAGCAGCCGCAGAGAGGGCCTGGAGAAAAGCCCACGCGTCACCCACCAACTCGGTTCTCTGGCTTGTTAAAACCAGGCACGTAATTTTAGAAATACGGGATGATTTCAAACTACTTGTTATGGACTTTGGCGGGCTTATCTCAGGTCTGAGAAAGGCAGTGGCTTATGATGGGAGGAAGCAGATGCTGTACATGGTGTTTTGGTCCATGGCAGAGTCACATAGTGCACAGGTGACAGTGGCCGTACCACACAGCATTCGCACAAGGAGAGAGAGTACCTGTTCTGTGGCCCAGCCTCCCGCAGCGTGCACCCAGCTGACGAGTGCATCGAGGTGGCTTCCGAAAGCTGGGTGGCCAGGCCCAGCCCTAAAATTGAGCAGCTACTGTCAGGCCCAGGCTGGCAACGCTTATAAAGATGGACAGGGGCCAGAGATTTAGCTCAGTGTGGTTCCGCCACCTGCCTCGCAAGCGCAAAGACCCAGAGATGGATCCCCAGTACCAAAACAAAAACAAAAACAATAAAAAACACACAAAAGTAAAGACGGACAGGGTGGAGATCAGGCACATACAGCGCAACACCGTGCAAAGAAAGGTGAGATCTATGTATATACAAACAGTCATCTGAGGCTTAAGAGTGATGAAGAGGAAGCTGGTATTCCAGGAGCCTCAGCAGGCAGATCACAGGCCGGGGTAACGGGAGTTACAGGGGCAAAGGAGAACTGCTCTGACAAGGCAGGAGACAGAACAGGAGATGTGGGCTGGGACTTACAAAGAGCTCCCAATCAACCCTGCAAGTGACTAAGGTTTTATTCCATCTGATCTCCACATGACAAGGGTAAGTGATAAGCACAAGGCCACAAAAATCATTAGTGACAGAAAGCCTTGAAGCCTAGACGTCTTCACCCAGACTAGCTGGAGCTCTGCAAAATTATGTCACAGTCCAACCAGCGATCTCCTGTATGAGGCGGGACCAAGAGTGTTTAAGATTGATTACAGTAAAAGACACTGCCATCAGTTACCCTCACCATCTTCCCCCTGACTTGGAGCACACTTCCTGCAGCAGTTTACAGTAATTTCTGTCTAGTAAAAACTAGAAGCTGTGTCCTCATCCACTGGATGTGGCACTGGGTAACTCCTGGCTCTTGCCCAAAGTCAAAATGACCAGGAAAGGGAAATGTTTTGAATCCATTCAAGATACTGAGGCAGCCACAGCAGCACAACTTAAAGACAAAGAAAGGACTTCCATGACAGCTGCAGAAAATGGCAAGGATGGGATGAGTGTGCTCAAAGACAGGAAGTACACCGAGGGGGATTCGTGGCAATGTGCCTTTTACTGTAATATTTTAAGATTTAAATATTCGCTATATTTTTTGTACAGGTAGGTGTCATTTAATCATAGAATGCAAGCCGAGCAATATGTCACTAAGTGACTTTGTCACAGAACATCATGGAGTGTCCCCTCACAAAGACGAAGGTGTCACAGGTGATATCATCTGATGAGACCACTGTCTACACCTGTAACTATACACAACACACCCCTGGCTTTGTAAAGACAAATTAGGAACGCTATGCATGTGCTCTTCTTTCTTAGGCCTGCAGAGGGGAGTGGAAGGATCTATTATAATCTGTTGCCAAGTGGGTGGAATGACCTTTTTGTTACATTTTTACTTCTAGGTTTTAAAAAGCTAGGAGTCTAAAAATCGAGAGTAGTTTTGTTTTTGCTTTTTGAGACAGTCTCGCTATGTAGTTCAGGCAGGCCTTGAGCTTATGTGGTGATCCTCTTGTCTCAGCCTCCCAAGTACTGGGATTACAGGCCTGCACCATCAGGCCTGGCCTTGAGAGGACTATTTTAAAGCTGGCCTTCTCTATGAGTTACTCCCACCCCTGGATGTGACAGTCACACTGTTTTGCTCTGCAGACCTTTCCTGATGCATGGTCAACAGAGGGTCTTAGTAGTAGGGCTGGGTGTGGCCCACAGTCAGAGCTGGCCTGAATCCCAGAGGAAAACTGAGTCTCAGCCTTTTTATTCAAGTATCCCAAGTAGCTCTTTTGTTCCCTAGCCCCCGCCCAATTTATTAAGGTAGTGGTCCCCTTTTTACCTATCATCCTTCCTGTAAGTGACCTTCACCTCACAGCCTGCTTGCACCAGGGGAGTAGCTCTCACCGTGCCTTTTCTACCCATGGTTTGCCACAGTAGTTCCTCTTGATTTCATTAATAACTTGCTTCTAGGCCGATAGCCCAAAGGCTAGATGAGGGTACTATTTGCTATATTAACTGTTGAGGTAGGACTTTCAAAAATCTGAAGCCACAAATTAAAAGGAAAACAGTAAGGGCGCTGGCTTTGTGACCCTGGGGTCTACATTTGTCTAAATAAAACTTCTCGGTGCCCGCCGTAGGGCAGGCTCTGCTGCCCTTTTGCCCTGACGCTAACTACTAAGGTGGTGGAGGGAGAGAGGGAATTCCAGGCGCAGTGGAAAAAGCCCGTGAACTGGGCAACAGGTGCCCTGGTCACGGAGAACTTCCCCGAGCAGGTCCTGATGAGTAAGACACGTCCTGTACCCAGGCCACACCCGGCCGGTTCTGCCTCAGTGCGTGACCCTGGGCAAGTCTCGGTTTCCCTGGGCCTGGGCGAGGGAGGTTCGTGGACGCGAGAGAGGCGCCGCCGCAGGGACCTGGCCTTATGCACACGTGGGCTGCAGACCCCGCGCCAGACCCACCCGCGGCGCGGCCCCCGCCTCCGACGCCCATGTTTCCGCTCCAGGTGGCCAAGCTCGCGCGGCCCGGCCCAGAGTAAGGCAGCCACGGCCCGGGGCGCCCAGCTCCCAGGCTGGAGGCTCCGGGAAACAGCGTCCCACGGACCCGGGATTCCGGTTGCGGGACCGAGGCCGGAAAAGGCCAGAGCGGCGGGGCAGTGCAGAGGAGCCGCTGTTCCCTACGTAGCCCAGGGACTCCGAGAGCCCCTTACCTGAGATACGACAAAGCCGGGAGATTTCGCCGCGCCAGCCTCACACAGCAACCCGCCATCACTACTGTCGTCGCCACCGTCACTGCGCGCGTATTGGGCATGCGTGGAGCCGCTGCGCCGATTTCCCCGCCCCAGTACTTCCACGTAGCCAATCCGTGATCGTCTTTGCATGATCGACAGACAATAGTCACCAATAATTGAGAGTCGTGGTGGCGAACAGGTCCACCTCCCAGGTGGGCGGGGCCTGAGGCTTCCGCCAGCCCCAGAAGGCCAGGAGGTGAAAGGTGAAGGGATTGAGGGAGGAGCCTCCTCTGGGCGGGGAGAGGTCAGGGAAGAGCCAATGGGGAGGACGAGCGCAGGGGCGGGGCGCTTTCTGGGCAAGTCTTCCAGTCTAGGAGCCCGGCGTCAGTCTGCTTGCGCTGGGGGCTGCCGGGTCCTAGATGGGTGGGTAAATGAAGGCAAGGGATCGTTGGACTGTGGGGAAAATCAGCGGACGCAGCAACCCAAGTATCTGGCAAATGAGAATGCCCGTCTTCCCCATGCCACTGTCTTGGTGAGGAGGAGAACAGGGAAGGGATGAGGTTTCCATCTCCTGTGAGTTCTAGAAACAGGAGTGAGACCCCGGGAGCGAAAGTGACGCAGTGTAGCAGGTCTGATGTTACACAGGAGTGCTGGTGTCTCTTTTGTACCTGTCACCTTCCGTTTTATCACAGTAAAACAAAGCATAAGCGAGAATAATGTGCTGTTTAGGAAGAGTTTTGGACACCACGGACTCTCGTCAGTCAGTTCAGAAGTGTTTGTTAATCTGTTAATTTCAAACATGTTTAACAGAAGAGAAAATAGTCATATCCCCCGCGATATTCATCGAGCAGTCTCGGCTGAGGTCTGTGTACTCTGCTGCATCCCGGGAGGAAGCAGAAGAAGGTGTCTCTCGTCCTGACTTTGGCTGGAGCCCAGAAGCAGCGCCAGGTCCCAGTTGCAGGGCTGAACTTCCCAGTACCCCGGGATCGATCCAGTGCTGCCTCTGTGAGTTCCATTTGTGGAAACAGGGCTTTTGCTTTTGGTCACATTAAAACCGTTTGTTGGCGAGTTCAATCCTCGGTACAAAAAAACACACACACACACACACACACACACACACACACACACACACAGAGACACAAAAACCGTTTGTTGGGATCCGGGTGTGGTGGCACATGCCTGTAATCCCAGCACCCGGGAGGCTGAGGCAGGAGGATTGCTGGAAGTTTGAGACCAGCCTGGGCTACATAGTAAGTTCCATGTCAGTCTCAACTACATAGTGAGACCCTGTCTCGAAAAACAAAACAAAACAAAACAAAAAACAAACAAAACTTCTCAACTACATAGTGAGACCCTGTCTCGAAAAACAAAACAAAACAAAACAAAAAACCCAAACAAAACAAAACATTTGTTGGGTCTGGGATGTAGCACACAGGCACTGGGCCTGCCTGGCAAGCGCAAGATCTTGAGTTCGATCCCTGGTAGCAGGGAAAACAACAACAACAACAACAACAAAACCTTTCTTTGCTGGGCCTGGTGGTGTCCACCTCTAATCCCAGCACTCAGAGGTTGAGGTGGGAGGATTGTCATGAGTTCGAGGCCAGGCTGGACTACATATGGAGAGCCTGTCTCACAAAACAAACAACCTAAGACAACAACAAAAACCTAGTTGTTCACCTGCTGCTGCTATTGGCCAGGTGCTGGGCCACCTCCAGAACGTGAGGTGTTGTACTAGACAAACAACCCAGTTTAGTAATTAGGGCCCAGAGGAGGGGGCAGGAGAGAAAGTAAGGAAGTCAGGCTGTTAGAGAATAAGTGAGCGCAGAAGGCATAACTGAATGGATGTGTGTGACTTTCTTGGATCGTGGTAGAACAAACCAACTGTAGAAAAGACTCAGCGGATGAGGGGATTTGGCTATGGACTGGGTATCAGGTGGCGGTGCAGAGTTCCTGATACTGTTAGAGAGTGATAATGGCCTGGTGGCCACATAACAATATCCTTATTGTCAGACATGCAAACAAAGGTATTGATGATAAATTGCCAGTGTCTGTAATTTGTGTTGAAAAAAGCTCACCAGGTCGGCCGTGGTGGTGCACGCCTGTAATCCCAGCACTCAGGAGGCTGAGGCAGGAGGATTGCTGTAAATTCGAGACCAGCCTGGACTACATAGAGAGTTCCAGGTCAGTCTCCACTACATAGTGAGACCCTGTCTCAAAAAACAAACAAACAAACAACAACAACAAAAAATAACCGAAAAAAGCCCACCACACACACCTGAGCACAGTGCAGGGCTGGGCGTATTTGAAGCTCGGTGATGAACACTGGGGGCTTGTGACTTTTCTTTTGAAGACGCTTGAAAGTTTCTGGGGTAAAACTTAGAACATCTTTTGTTTCTCACTGGCTGTGACCAGGTAACCTACCTGTTCTCATCCTGATTTGGCTGACCTGTAAAACGGGACTCTGCTTGCAGGTGTAGAAGACGTGATGGAAATGTTCATCTCCTTCCTCTTTAGGACTTGGAGAGAATCACTTGGCATCCTGAGTGCTGACACCCACGGCAGAGTTGTAGCTTCTGTGTCGCGGGACAGACGGGTGCTTGTCTTCCAGGCAGTCAAGCCACACTGGGGACCCTGAACCACAGCTCAGTCCAGGCTGTCCAGGGCAGAAGCCATGGGGTCCCCTGCTCCGAGGCATGCCTGTGCTGCCACCTCGTGGGCACACGGGGAACTGCTCCACCCGAGCCCCAGGATGGGCAGCTAGGAGCTCAGGTCTGGGCTCCCTGAGGTCTGGCACAGGAGGTGAGGCTGCCCACGTGGGAAGCCCCCTGGATCAGCTCCTTGAGCTCATGCCCAGCCAGTAGGGGGAGGCGGAGGTGGGAAGAGCTGGCTAAACAATGTGTGGAGCCCAGCGAGGATTGGGTGGTGTTTAAAAGAAGAAATTTTCGGGCTGGGTATTTACAGTGGTTCTGCTGCTTTCCATGAAAGCGCAAGGACCTGAATTTGCTTACCACTACCAAAAAATAAAAGAAAAAATTTTCCTCAGGAGGCCGTGCAGATGGCTCGACAGCACCTCGACTGTGGGCGTGATGCTCGTGACAGCCGAGTGTGGCCTGTGCCAGGTGGTGTGCTGGGTGCTCCAGAGATGTCCTGTGGGTTCGGAGAGGAGGGGGCCGGGCTCAGTCCGGCTAGTTGGCTGCACTGGGGTCACAGGCTTCTCACCACTGCCCTGGCCTGCGTCAGGGCTGAAGCCAGAGCCTGCATCTGTGTGCTGCGGTGTCTGCTGCCCCCGGTGCTGTGTTGGGATCCCTCGGCAGTGGCTGGGTTTCCTTTCCCTGAACTTGGTTGGAGAGAGGTGTGGCGGGCAACTCTAAAGGTGGACTCCACTCAGATCTAACCTAGGTGCCTCTGTGCATGGACTTCCCACTTTAAATTAAAGTCCCAAGCCAGGTGACCTCGAGACGCAGAGTTTATCTGGAACCCTTATTAGTTTGGACTTTGAGCCCTTTCAAATCAGGGAGTTTTCTCCAGCTGGCCACAAAGCAAAGTCACTCACCGTGGCCGGCCTGAAGGTGGAAGCTTGAGAGGGACCCTGGGACAGAGAGCAGTCCTCGCCGACATCCAGCTGGGACAAGGGACCTCAGACCTGTGGCCCCAAGGAGCTGGACTCTGCCATCTTCCTGGATGAGCCTCAAGCAGATCCTCCTCCAGAGTCTCCAGGTTAGGGCCCCAGCTCGGCCCCACCTTGGTTTTGACCTTGTGAGGTCCAGAGAGGGAGCCTGGTTTCAACCACCCCAGTGGCTCGCATGGTCAGGTTGGTTGAGAGCTGGCGGAGCACACTCTGGGTGAGTCTGGGTGGGTGTGATCTTGGGGACTACACCCGGTCCCTGGCCCCTTCCTCTCAGGTGCTGTCCCCTTGTCCTGCTTCGAGGCTGCCATGAACAGAGCAGCTCTTCTCTGCCACTTTTCCACTGTGACGCTCCTGCTTTAGAGCCAGGTGACCATGGGCTGGATCCCTTGAGACCATGAGCCAAGGAAACCATTTCCTCCTTTAAGTTGTGGTGTCGGGTATCGAGTCTCTGGCCACTTCAGAACTCTCAGCCGGGCCTTCCTCTTTCCCCACATTTCGCTGAGCCTCTGCCCTGGACTTGGGCACGTGCGGCGGACATATCGCACATCCCAAACCACCATCCCCAGGAAGCCCGGGTTCCTAGGTCGGGGGAGCCACCTGGAAGGGGGAGCCTGACAGCCTGGGCTCCAAACCGAAAAAGATGCTCCTGGAAAGCAGATGCCACCAGAAGGGGCCATGGGCGTCCAAGTGGGAGCAGCCCTGCTGCAACAAGAGGCAGGCCTCACCCTGGAGGTGGGGTTGGGATGCTTGCTTGTAAGGGCAACGAGCAAGTGCAGAATTAACAGCCATCTCTCCAGAACGTTCGTATGAACTGCAGCTGGCCAGTCCTAGTGGCACCCAGGCGGCCAGAGAGGTGGGTGACCTTGTCGGGCTAGACGGTTGAGGAAGAGAGACAGGAGGCAGGCTGTGAAACCCTTGGATTTCCAGGAAACCTGCCTTTTGTGCTTGTTTGTGTGTTTTTAAAATGAGCTCAGACTGGCCTTGCACACTGTATGTAGCCCCCAGGCTGGCCTCAAACTCAGCCTTCCTGCCTCAACCTCCCAGGTGCTGGGGTTATGGGCACGTACCACGACGCCCAGCTTACAGTTACTTGAATCCCCAGTACGTGCACGTAGTAACCAGAGTCCACTCGTGTGCAGCCACCTTTGGGGGAGATTCCCCTGCCCGTTCTCCTCTGCTGTGGGCGGTCACGGGCAGTGTGAGTCCAGCTTCCCCTCTCCCACGATGCTGCGTTCCGTTCCACCCCGGCCGGCCTCCCCCAGGAGTCTCAGTCTGTGCTCACAGATCAGCAGCCTCGGGGGTCGTGGAGGCCTCTCATCTCCGTGGAGTCCTGATTTACTTGGGCGTTGCAATGGTTCACATTCTTCTGCACACGTATTAGTGCACACAGACACACGGACGCGTTTCAGTTACTCAGGAGACCCAGGAATGGTGCCGTCACTTCCAGCAATGCGA